AGAAAGGTTAATCTTCACCTAATCTAACCTAACTCAGCCAAACCTTACTTAATCTAAGCTTACATTACTTAACCTAACCAAGCTTAACTTTACCTAATCTAATCAAATGAAACTTTACCTGATCTTACCTTACCACTACCACCACACTCACCAGTAAATTCACCACCATATTTTATTGTTTTACCTTGGCAAGTCTTCCACTGTCGAAAATAATTACGTTTATAAGACTGACAAGCCCTTAACAACACCTCTGCCGAGACTTGTGTTGGAGAGACTATGGTAATGCTATTTTTATTATTGGGTTAGGTTAGGTTAGGTTAGGGTTTGAATGCTTTCTAATCGAGACTAGACCTAAATAACCATCATCTATCTAGTTACACACTGTAATTGTTTTCCTTGTAACACTTTTTCCTGTTGTCTTATAAAAAAATGTAATTCCTTTCACGATGCTTATGAAATTTGTACTTAAATTCATAGGAAAACTAAGTGTGTAAGTTTTGGCGGGTTTTATCTAATTGTTCTAAACTTGGTACTACAATGTTAATTAATAACGATGTTTATTTTTTATTTTTTATTGTAGATTTTAGATTCTGACGTATTCTTAGTTCAAGGAGTATATAAATAACATTGATGTGTATCTCCAGGGGTACAGCGCGTTCCTTCAGTGATGACGTGGCGTATGGCGAATTCCTGGTAAATGTCATCATGTTGTGTGTTCGGTTTATTTAGTTAAATCATGATAATAATAAGCTGTATTTTGTTTTGTAGATGTTCACCACTACGACAATCTCTGTTTCATCAAAGTTTTCCCTTATTTATTATCCATAATTCGATTTTTCCCCCAGAGCCTTGTAGGATTTGGTGTAGTTAGCCTTTTCATAGCAACGTGACACGAAAGAAAATGGTTATATATGATGGATAACTATTCTAGATATGAAAAATGTATTTAATTAGGTTTAATCTATTATATTTGGCATTCTGGATGAAGATATTAGGTTGTGTATCCATAATTCAGCTTTCACCTTTAACATAATCATCACGGGTCCTCTGATAGTTTTCTGTACTGATAGTTTCTTTAATTACCTTGTGGCCGTGACCTTTAGTGGGGCGGCCATCAGATACTGAAAGTACATTTGACTGAGTAATACCCTTTGAGATGCTTAGGAACCACCTAATCGCCCCCTAGCTCTTCCGTGTGGTGAAGAGAATAAGGTAAGGTAAGGTAATTTAAACTGGGTGATTATATACGTTCTACTTTCGTTTGGTAAGTGAGGTAGTGAAAGCCAACACCCCACTGGAAGTCTTGCTTAGAACATTTTAATCATTTGACAACCTTTGGTATATCTCAGAGACCAAGAAGAATTGTAAGACTTCAGGTAAGGCGGCACAACATCTGACAGTGCTTGAAGAGACGGACCAACAGGTTTGTACAGTATACCATCTAAATACGAAGCTGCCTAGAAAGCCATGCAGTAATTTATGGGAATTACTACTATATATTTATTATTATAATTATCTACTTATTCGTTTACCTTCTCCCTCCGATGTTACGTATCATATATTCAGCGTAAGTATTTTAGAAAAAGTGAAAGTGATATTAAAGAATTTCCTCGTTTTCTCAATTCTTTTATTTATAGAAAACGTTCCCCTACTTTATGATATACTCAATAAATTAAACGAGTTGTGGTGGCCTTGCTACCAGCATTGGCCATGACGAGGAAAGGAGGACGATGGCTTATGAATTACTCCAGCATTATTCTGTATAGTGTTATCGAGGGTTATTTTGATGGCCAGCATCGTTCTTGTTCCTACGGCTTCAGCTGATAAACTGTTCCTTAGGTCTACCGGCCTTTACGTGAAGAATTACTTCCTTGCATTCGTTCTCCATTACTGCATGGTGAGCTTGAATCTTGTGCCTCTTGTGTTTGAAGGGATTGACATCTTAAAAATATGATATGTGTAACGTCTTCCATTCCTTTCAGGTTACTGAATGTGGGAGTTAATGGCACAGAATGTGCGTATCATTTCCTAGAGTGTCATGGGTTCGAGTCCTATTTGGCCCTGACACACGTGAGTGTGGTGTTATCCAAGGTTTCCTCCGGGTGATCTGGTTTTCTCCTGTACTGAGACACAGGACAATAAAGGTCATAATCAAGAACAGACCAACCGCCTGAACGACTAGTAAGCTAAATTCGTGTTGAAATTATAAATAAAATGTCTAATCTCAAGAGTTGTTATTCTCACGGTTACTTGGATAATCGAGATTAATATTTCAGCAGTTATTCTAGTTGCCATTCACAATTATCGCTATAAATTCAAATGTGCGCATATCTTTGTGATGTTCTGCATAAATAGGTAGGAGTTGGGATGTCAATGAATATGTCTGTCCAAGTTTTTACATATTTCATGGGTCTAACAGTTAAGTTAGACTCTAACTTAATTGAATCGACTTACAGTTTACTAATATTCGTTTACATCCTCTGTCGTACAAATGCCTGACGTCTTTCCTGCTGAGCCACGAACTCAAAGATTCAGACTCGTGAACCCTAAAATATCTATGGACAGAATAATGCAACAGTGTTTTATTTTCGAGTTCGTGAAGCAGCAGGAAAGGCGACAGGACTTTTAATTGCTTTATCAGTGTAAACTATAATAAATGCAAGTGGATTTAACCAAGAATCCCCAAGAACGCACTATGAAGCTTACTATTTGCATTGTATACAGTTAATGTGTATCGTTTGTATTTCTTATTTATGTTTATATAGATCTACATATGTATTCACGCTAAATAGCAATATCTCCTTTATAGTAATACCCACAATATATAAAACGATTCCTGTTGCATCGTATCGAGAACAACGGAGTGATAACAGGTGAACTAAGGGTACAGAAACGAGGTGGCACAGGTGTTACTGAACACTTGTTGGTAAACATTTGTCAAGGCTGTGGTGAATATGTTCAATTATTGGCGCCATTGTTAAGTGGGATATACTCCTCACTGCAATGCTCTTGTCTTGCCCTTCCCATTAAACCTTCCCTGCCCACCACCCCTCACTGCCCACCTCCTGTTCTGCCCACCTCCCTTCATTGCTCATGAGAGGTTGTGGGGCGGGGTAGTGAGGGGTTTTGGGTGGGGTAGTGAGGGGTTGTGGGTGGGGTAGTGAGGGGTTGTGGGGTAGGGTAGTGAGGGGTTGTGGGTGGGTGAGGGGTGAGGAGGGGTTGTGGGTGGGGTAGTGAGGGGTTGTGGGGTGGGGCAATGAGGGGTTGTGGGGTAGGGTAGTGAGGGGTTGTGGGGTAGGGTAGTGAGGGGTTGTGGGTGGGTATATCACATTGTACAAAAAACTTATAATCAATGTACACCAAAAATATCTAATCATTATAATTCACAAAAATAATAAATTTCACCATTAACTTCATTAAACAGGTATTATGAGGCCTCCCAATCCATTATTATTATTAGTAGTAGTAGTAGTAGTAGTGGCCCGTGTTGACGTCAGTGCTCGAGGATTCTGGACGCTGGGACAGCGAGCCTTCTTCGACATCAGGATTTTTTATCCCATGGCCGCATGTCACGTAACTTAGCTCTCGATGCTGCACACAGGAGGAACGAGAACGACAAGATAAGGGCATAACTGGAGAGAATTCAGAACGTTGATCAAGGCAGCTTCACTCCTCTAGTGTTCACAACCTCTGGTGGGATGGGACCAAGTGCAAGATGCTTCTACGCCAGACTCGCGGAGGTGATATCTGAACAGAAGCAACAGCCCAGAAGTTATGTTACAGCCTGGATGAGATGTCGACTGTCCTCTCTCCTTCGGTTGGCTTTGTTCTGCCTCAGGGGAACGAGAGCATCGGCTCCAAAGCCGACAACAGTTGCAGATATTGCCTATGTGGCTACAGTCACTGAATGCTGCATAGATCTGCGGTTCAACTAACCCAACACAGCTAGGATAGCTACTTATGTATTAGGATATTTAATATTAAGGTAATAAAATGGTGGCGAAGGTATGGCTATTGGGGGAGGCTGGAGGCCATTATAAAAATAGAAAAAAGTAGTAGTAGTATTTATAAGTATTTTATGTCTACTTAGTAGGAATCATCGTTATATACCATTTCATCACTTACCAGCTTACTAGCTCTTTCGTTTGGCTATTTTTTTCCTCCCTCCCTCTCCCTCGGGGAAGGTAGGGGGATGGCTGTACCATCAACCCCCCTCCAACAGCAACCTCGTCCTCCCCTTCACCTCGGTAACTGTTACGCAATTTGTTCTACTTGATAATAATACTGCATGTGTAGCCCTTAGCCCCTGTACTTGTTATAGAATTCCTCTGATTACATAACACATACTAAAATTAATTCTAGATTGCTGAAGAATATTAAATGAAATGTTAATGCATAAAATAAGGCATTTTGCGATATACTGTACATACAGTATTAAAGAAATGGAATAACATTCTTAAGTAACTCTCTTTGACTGTAGCAAAACTAAAAGTCACTTGCGATGATATTATCACACTAATACTTTATTAATTCTTCAACTGATAAAAAAACTCACATATAGGCAGTAATTGTCACATAAGCCTAGAGAAAGGTTGAACATTTCCTGCTGGCTTCTCCCGACGCGGGCTGTACCGTTTATTTGGAAACTTCTGGAGCCGTTCCTGCTAGAGTGTAGCTCTCGTTCTGCTTGGTGGTTCGTTTTTAGAGAAAATCGTCTCACACAAAAAAAGAATAGTATCAAGAGAACTTTTCTTGAATTATATATTGTAACTCGAGTATATCGATTCCCGGGCCAACCAACCATCGGATGACGATGACGTCATAAAGTTGCTAATCGAAATTTGTTATGTTATCTATCAATATATTTACTCAAACACAAACAATTTTGTTTATATAAAATGAAATAATATACTATTTCACTATAATTTACCGTATCAAGTATATGTAAAGCTTGGTAAGAAATCAAAATTTAATAAAAATCTTTTGAACTAATGGCAATGACTATATGACGTCAGAGCACAACAAGTATGGCGGTCACAGTGTGGTAAATATGTGGAGGGAATTGATCATTGTGTAGTGAGTTCTCTTATAAACAGTCTCCATGGTGATCAAAATGAAGAACAGAGTTGCAGGGACGATTATTAGGTCTCGTCGCATCGTAAAAGAAGGGATGGTGGTGAGTATAGAGGAGTGTAATGTATGTTAACGTGGTGACAGCTTGCCTTAGGTTATGTCCTCTATGCCGTGTGCAGGGTGGAGATATGTACCCGGTCCTGTGGTATAGTGTAGTGTGGTAGGAATATCCACTAAAGGTCCTGAATAGAAAGTTCTGAGATGGAAACGTTTTTATTTCTTAGAATCCTTGGGTAAAAATAGCGGTGTAGAGCATTTTAATGACCTAATCATTACACTGTTCTCTATTATATTCAGTGGGTATTATATAAACCTACAAGGATATATTCACCTTTTTCACTCTACTTGTTTTTTTTTATTAAATTGATTCACTAGATTTTGTAGTACTGCATAAAACAGAATATTATTACACCTAAACATTACTTAAATACTGTAGAGAACTTTTTCATGTGAATAAATGGGAATTTGAATTCGGTAATGGTATTAAGAATCACATTTAAAGTGTATGTAAGAAAAAATGAGGTCTCCCATTGTCGACAGTCAGCGACGTATGTGTGACCACGACATCAAATCATTTATGAAAGATGACAGTAAAGATGTAGCAAAAGGAGTCTGCAATAATGTTTGAGAATTTCTCATGAAATTTTGCTTTGCTTTGTTTATTATTCACTGAACTTGTATGAAACATTAACACGTAGGATTTCTCCGATGTTTAACAAATATCATAATGTCTTTTGTAGTGTGGGAGAAACCTATCTGTCTTACTTGGTGTGAATGGAATGTTGGTTTGTCTCATTTATACCAGTCACAATTCTAACCATCTACCAAGGTGTACAGTATAGAGTACAGTATATTGTTCTTGATCAGTCACCCAGTCCCACATAAGGATCTCAGTGGAAGTGAGATAATTTTAACTTTCTCGGGTCAACGTATGGTTCATCACCTTTTGTGTACCTGCTCTGTCTGTGTATAGCTGTACTTGCTGAGCTAAAGCAAACTATTCTGGTGATTTTATTGAATGAGTACAGTACCTGTCTATCAGTATATTTCGTATGAAATACATATATTTTTCCTAATTATAATATACAGTAAATGTATTTAGCTGTATGAGTTGAATGGAAGATCTTTGAAAGAAACTTCTACTCATATAATTATAGGGTACTTTTAATGCGAGTTTTAATGCATAGGGTGGGAATTTAAGGAAATTTGACTGTAAATTTAATTAAAAAATGGCAGGCAAGTACTGTACCAGTAGGTCATTGCTTCTTGTGCCTTCAAAGTAACAAAACGTCATTTAGCTCTTAGACTTTTAGTTGAAATGAACTACTGAATGACACACAGTGCTGTACACTCAATTCTGACTCTGGCTCATTCATGCCAAAATCAGACACAATTCAGTGATGTCTTCTTAATGACCGTGGATATTCGTCCGGCTCATTCAGGTGATACTCATATGGCACACGCAGACAAATAAATCCTAGACTCTAACCTAACCAACACTGTAAGATGGTCCCACTAAAGACAGGAATTACACATCAATCTCTGACAGCCATCCTATGATATTTTTTGTACATATCCAACATGACAAATATCACCTAGGATTTATCTATCATCCGAGAGTCACTTGCCTGGTAATGCTTCACGAGTATCCTGTTGTGTGCGGAAGTCATGACCTACACACCATTTATATACCAGTACCAACGCCTTTATACATTTTTAACTCTGTTTTGGTTAGTTACCTGACGAATTATCCCAAAACACATTATGTTGATGAAGCCTCACCGGTGCATGAAAAGATGGAGGGCATTACTCCTCAGCCATACTGACAACTGAGAGATTCATGCAATGTTAAAGTTTATTGTTAGTAAAATTATAGTTTCGGTCATCCCTGTATTTAGACATCCAAACTAATCTCGTCTAACTTAACCTGACTAACGTAACCCAACCATCCTAACCTAACCCTAAGATTCCCTGGATGACCGAAACAATAATAATACCGTATTGTTAAAGCAATCATTAACAAAGGCTGTGTAATAACAGTAGATATATAATGACAATTCCAAAAAGTACAGTAAGTCCTCATTTAACGTTGCCCCTGACAACGCTGTTTCATTATACCGTCGCTACTCTTTAAATACCCATGATTCCGACAACGTCCCGACCGATTCGTTATAACGTCATCACCCAACACGGACTACTGTACTTTGTATGGTGCATCACCCTCTCTCATCTTCGCGCACTACGCTCTCCTGCGGAGTATCACAGCGTCCCCAGTCTTTGTTAGACTTCCACAGCCTACGTGCATGCTCAAGTGTTTTTGCTCTAAATACTGTACTGTAACCATTCAAAATGGATTCCAAGCGCCCATCAAGTGTTAGTGATGAAGAAGCAACGCAAGACCATTAGCCTTACTCTGAAGATGGAGGTTTTAAACCCTCGAGTCTCAGTGACTCCCCACCCTCCTCCTCTCCACTACCCACCACACACTCCTCCACCTTTGCCCACCAATGAGTCCAATACAAAATGATTTAGTTTATTTATCTTTTGGGATGTGTAATATGTATTTTCTAAAAAAATTCCATTGACTTGATGTACTGTGCAGTATATGTAATATTTTATGGGGCAAAGGGAGGCTGGGGAACATAACTAGTGTACAGTACTTTATCTATTTTGTTATGGGGAAAATTGATAACATGAACGTTTCCATTTATGTTGTGCTTTTCAAAAACGTAACCACGACGTTAAATGAGGACTTGGTGTAATACTAATTATCACAGATTTTTATGAGAAATTAGCGTGAATTTATTAAACTGGATACACAAGAAGATATGACAAATTATTTTCTTGCTGTGTGAAATGTATGAAGACTTAGGATAAATTGTGTTTTTATGTAAGATTATGTTGCCAGTGAATCATAACCACAAGATAAATAAAGATTCCAAGGAAAATCCCTTTTTTTTTTTAACTTGGCACCGACTCTATACTAATTTTATCCAGGAACCAAACTAACTTAAACCATTCATTTTTTTAATTTAGCTTAGGTGAGGTTGCTTAAGAATCATTAAATTCTCGGCCATTGCGAAAGACAATGTGATTAGATTCGTCTAACGCTTAGCTTCATCTTTTTTTTTTTTTTATTTAGGTTAGGTTAGCTTAGTATGGTTTGTGTCACCATTTATCAATGATTTAATGCCATAGTCTCAGAGTATTGAATGTCAATAATCATCACCTGCTGTTCTTATTCATGTAGTACAGTATATACTGTACTGAACTGTGCTGTATACCGGGTATAGAAATTTAATGAGCCTTAATTATTGGGCTACAACACTTGCACTTATTTATGTCTACCTGGCACAGGTGTTGCTATGTCAGGCATTTGGAGGCAGGGAACTAGTCAGTGACTCAGTGTCATCATCAAGACATGAAATACCCTTGATTGGTACGCTCTGAGCACGTTGTTGCTTGTTCTAGTAATACACAGTCTTTAAATATGGCAAACTTTGTTTTTATTATTGTTCATTTTGGAAAGGTAACACAGTAACCTATTTATTCTTTTGTGAGACGGGTCTCAATATTCAGGTTGTAGTCCCTGAGATCTTTCTTAGAAGCCTTTTCACAATACAATACAGTATCAAATGTCTTTTCTCCTAAGAGATGCACTCTCCTGTCCTGTGGAATAACTTTAGGGGTGACCACTTAGCTTTAGCACTACAGAACTGTAATAGTACATATAAAACATTGTAGAGCAATGTACTGTACAATGATGTTTCACACAGGGGTCTAGATGGCCGAGATGCTCAACTGTGTTGTGTGTGGCAAGCTGCGACATGCACCTACTGATCACATGGTTAATAGCAGACGATCCCTCCTGTTAATGGATTTTACTGGGATGGTCCGCTAATTGAAAGACTTTCATACCGGACAAAAAAGTATGGTGCAATCCTTGGAAATTCGTTCCCATTCCCGGAATTTCATTGGATGCTCAAAAAACAATTTCCGGCTATTGGAGAGTTCTGGGGGTCAAACATTCCAGCTAATGGAGAGATTACACTGCTGTTGTGTATACATAAAGTTGTAGTTACCTCGATTTGCAAAAACTCTATTTACAATTTAATTTATTTTATGATGGTACGTGCAGTATAGTTTATAATTTACACCTTTTTATATATTAAGTATACCATAGATTATTTTAACATTATATTAAATATTTTACATGTGGGAGGGAGGGGGTGAAAGCATGAAATTACCCATCGTATCCAGAGAAAATGAGCGTAGCGGGTACTTAAGAGGCGGTCGCACTAGTCATTGAAACCACTTAGTCCAGTTATAGTACTGGTGTTTTGCCCAGCCGTCCAATGATATTGGCGGGTTTGGGAGGTGATAAGATCATGTTGAGCGTGGCAAAAAGATGACAGCCATTGGTAAAGTTTTTGGAGTATCTCGGTCAACTGTGGCAACTATTAAACATATTACCTGTACAGTATGTAGTTGTGTTTTTCCATAAATTGTTGCCTTTTATATTTTCATGTATATGCGGTTATTTAAGTTATTACAAAGTGTTATTTTATTACTGTATACTGTATGCAGGATTTTTATTTTGCATTATTTTTTGTACTGTACCTCCCAATTTATAATGTGTAAATCACTGGATAAATACAATTTAGTTTATGCTTAATAGACTTATGGTTACGTTTTCAGAATTATAGCCCTGTCATAAATCATAGTACAGTTCAGCATAGTATACATACTTTTATCTCTACTGTTGATGTCCGAGAGAAATTGAACTGAAAACAGTAATAAAATAATTTCGTGACTACTGTAAAGTGTTTTAGGATATTGTAAAGTGAAAAGACTGAATAGTACAGGTACTCTAATGTTATCGTTGATATTTATAATAAATTACAGATATTGTACTAGTGTATTGTATTGATGGTAATGAATGTGTTAAGTTCAAAATCAGAAAGGGATTATCCAGTAGATTTTGTTCATACTGTACAGAGGTAATATAAATTTGAACCTGAATCCAATTTTAATACTGTAATA